TCGTAGGCTATTAGGAATATCAGCCAAAATTAAATTTCAGCTATTTCAACAATGTGAATTTTACCAATATAAGTTTAAACTTTAATCATAATCAGCTAAATTTTAATATACATATTAATTTAATTTTAAAAATTGTTTTTCCGTTGATTTGCTTAATTTTTCTATATTTCATGTTTTTTTATGAATGTAACATCAATGTTTAAAAACTAGCTTTGTTTTGGTGTCATATCGACGGTTCCCTTACTTAACGTGAAAGTTTTTGTAATGACTAAAGCAAACAATTTGACCATATTTAAAACTGAGTTATCCAAGTTTTTTTTTGGATTGATACACCCCTGAAACGTGTCAAAGCAATGCAATAAGAAGGATGCATTTGTAAATTGCAAAGCAACTTCAACCCGAGAGCTGACAAAACTTTTAACAAAAAACAGAAGCAGCCAAAAGCTCAATCTTTTTGGGGTAGAGAAAGTTCTCACAAATTTTTTGTTTTGATCATAGAAAAAAAACACTCAAATCAAATTTCTAAAAACTGCAATTTACCACAATTAAATAACGTATTGCGAGGAGGATGGAGTTCTGTTTTTTCATATTTTACTGGATTCTATAGTATTTTTTGCTCGCACAACTTGAAAATTACAATTTTTTTTATGGAACTTACATTCCCAATAAAAAAAAACTATTTCTTCTTTTTGCGTCTGACACCAGCTATCAGCATCGTGAATGTAGAATAACTATTAAAATTCTCATAAGAGAAAAAATTAAGCAGGAAAAAAAATACTTAAACCTAGAAATTCTGCTGAATTTTAATTAATGCAAATAAGTTGCAAAAATAAAATTGGCATTTAACTCAGAGTTTGCTTGTGTACACAATCATCATCAAAACATCTCATTTTTGACGTTCATACTAGCGGAATTCTTCCGTGAAACCAAAAAAACAATTACAAAAAACTCATTCTAAAGTAAATAAATTGATTCTCGTAAAATAAATTAATGGACACAAAAGAAAACATGAAAAGCCGGTTGCTGTGCAAGTAGCACAGAACTTTCCGACCATATTCTTAAAAAACTACAAAAAAAATTAAAATCAATTTCAATCTTTTTGTGCGTAATGTGATGAAAAATCTGAACAAAAAAACTAGATTTTTCGACATTCGTGGCAAAATAGACATCATAGAAAACGGGTTTTTTAATGGAGAAAATGACTTATAACACAAAACAATGAATGAAAAATATTTTAAAAGTGTTCATTTAGTTTTATTCCTAAGATGCCGCCATCAATATTTTCAAAACTTAATTCAGTAAAGTTTTTAGGGCTTGAATAAAAAATTTATAGCTTTTTTACTACTAACCTATGAATATCCTTCCTTATATAAGAAGCCTGCTTGCTCGCTTTACTTGTTCAACTTTAGACGAAAATTCAAAAATTTCATAGCCGAATACAAAGTTTCTACAAAGCAATTATGTTTTGTTGTTAAACGATATCCTAAACTACGTTAAAAATGCTATTTGCCTTGACTTTATCTGCATTGTACAAATAAACTTTACCTTGGATTAAAGATTTTCGCTGTGTTTGTACATCATATCAAATTTTTCTTTCTAAGCAAAGTCATAATTTCTAAAACAAAAATATTCAATGCAAAGTTAAAGTAGATTGTCCAAAATTTTTTTCAGACCTGCCGCAAATTGATCTGAAAATCAAAAATACCGAAATCTTTTTTTTTTCTAGATTGCAAGAGCTTCTCAAATACACCAGAAAATGTTTTGATATGATAAAACATATAATCCCTAACGGGATTTTAACCTGTTCTTTTGTTTCTTCTTTTTTTCGACAATGGTCAGAACAAATACATCATTTACTATCCTGTTTCGATTTATTTTAGCATAACTTTGACATCAATAGAAAAAAATTTTCCGCTATCAGATTGATGAAGTTTTAGTTTTGGTTAATCTCTCCAATTTTCAGTATCCCAGCAAGGACTTGAAATTATTTAAACGAGAAGGTATCAATTCATTTCTCTCTCCTCTCTCTCTCTCTCTCTCTCCTCTCTCTCTCTCCTCTCTCTCTCTCTCTATCTCTCTCTCTATCTCTCTCTCTCTCTCTCTCTCTTTCTCTCTATCTCTCCCCCCCCCCCCTCTCTCTCTCTCTCGTGTGTGTGAGAGAGAGAATTGTCACTCTAAAAAATTTTTTCTGATTGTCATTTGCGGGATCAAAATCTTCCTTTCTATGAATCATACACCTAGATTGTTAGTAAAATACGTTGGTACTGGGCAAAAAAATGATGAAAAATCTTCAGACCTTGTTTCAATTTTTCACCATTGAATAATCTCAATGTGAGAAAGCATCACATTAAATTCTATGACATGTAAAGAACTTTTTTTTAAGTTCACAAGAATTATTCAAAAATACAGAAAGAGTAGACTTATTTATCTTTTTCGTTTCTCTGTGTGACCTAAATGAGATACTTTTACCCCTATCTAATAAAAAGCTTCCTTTTCATTCATTTATCACTCCAATGCGTTTTATCCCCATAGGAAATTTTGCTCAGCATAAGATTTATTTTGCCAATATCCCTCTTTTTTCATACACAAATCATTGTTTGGGGTAAACGTTTCATATCGAGACCCTTTAAGACATGTCCCTTTTGTATACCGAGGCAGTCGTATTCGAAAAGAAGTGTTATTGAGTGTTTGATTAGAAAAAAAAAGCGAAGACGACAATATCACATTTACAAAAATAGGGTAAAGTCTTAGAAGAAATCAAACGCCAGACAAAAAGGTACTGGTGTAAGAAAGAAGAGAAACAAGAATAATTGAGCTAAAAAAGTTGAGGTAAACAAGCAGTTGCGGAAAATGTGATGAATATTCTCGAAATTTTTTTCAACAGCTGTTTGTATTTAATGAGCCCTATTAAAAAATCAGTTTGATGTGGTAATCAGGAACTATATTGAGTGATCCTTACTATCTATGGTCTTACTGAAAACGCATAGAAAAAATTGGCAATCAGAAATGCCTACGTTATCGTCACCAAGAGTGTAAAAAATTGGTTTATAGATAACCATCAATTCGGCGAAGTAAAAATCTCAAACATTAGATATCTGTAGGCAAAACAGATGCCCGAAAAATGATTTGAGGTTTGAAACGTTTCTGCCATATCTCTGCGCTTTCAATAGTGCGTGTCAACCGTCCAATCAATACCCAATATATCTCTTCACAAACTGCTTTTCCAAATAAAAAACCCAGAAGCAGGAGTGGATCTAGGATTTTCTCGAGAGCGGGGGAGGGGGCCTTTAAAAAAAATCGAAAAATTTGTCGACATTTTTTAGAATGGCTGAATTGGTTTTCCGAGCTCTCCTTATGCACTAAAAAGACCCCGTTCTGGCCAAATTTTCTGCTCCGCCAGAGCAGGCAACTTTTTTTAAAAAAGAGGCCAAAAAAGGCGTTTTTATGCCCTTTTTGGACAATTTTGACCAAAAAATAGCGTTTTTTTGGCGCCCGCTTCCCTCTCAAAAATAGTATATATTTGCGCCAAAGGAGCTTTTAGAAGCATTTTAGAGACCCTCAGCCAAAAATTGACATCTCAAAATAGTACAAATGGACACTGTTTGGTTCGACAGGGGTTCGAAATCATTGTTTTTTGGTTGGGAGGTGGAGCTTTCACGCCGAACACCAAATACCCAATTCATTTCAGTATCACTGGAGAAACTGAGCATTCAGTCAAATGTTGCAATTGACGTTGGAATAGTTGGCTGTACCGACTTTCGAAGAAAGTGACAGAGTATGTGTCTGGGGTGATCACTTTTAGTGTTGTTACTTGAGCGTTTTTACCGGAAATTTTTATAGCATCTGAAAAATATTGTTGACCGGAGTCCAAATGCAAAGATATGAAAAAAATGAATAAAAAACGAAAACACAAAACAAGAAAGTTACATCTTGAGCATTTTTCAACCATTTAAAAAAAAATGCCCTAGTAGTGCAATTGGAACATTCAAGGCTTCGCCCTGGTACACAAGCATCTTTTTATAATCATTCGAAAGATTATATGACCAAAATGACTTCAGATTGGTTTTTTAATCGATTTGCTCTGCTTCAAAATGTGAAATTTTATTTTGATGCTAACATAAATAGTGCTTACAAAATCACAATTCTAAAATTTGGAAATAATTTGCAGTATCATCCATAGACCTTGAAGAACTTTCATAAACTTCAACGAAAGCATATTCATATTCACCCAATCATGAAATTAATGGCTCAAAATAAACGTATAAAATTTGACTTAAGCATCATTTGGGACCGAAAATTTTGAGTTTACATAACGGTGGTTTTGTTTTTAGCTTCAAAGCTTAAGTTACCGTAGCATTAATTTGGGTCAACCTGAAGACTTTATGACACTGATTTGGTTAACAAACAAACCCTATATGGCTTTTAAGGATAACATGCCGACTCAGATCTACCGATTTTCAAAGGTAGCCGTAAAGTTTTTTATTGTCGCTAATCAAGGGTGAAATTAATTTGAGTCGCTGATCAACTTCCCAGTTGAAAATCGGAGGCGGCGGCGGCGGTTCTGAGGGGGATTGAACTTTTAGCGCCATGCATCATCGCTTCATTTCATGCAACCGTCTATAATAGCACCGGTTATATATTTAATTTTCTATTTACGAAAGAGAAAAGCTTACTTTTTCAAACAAATTACCAATGACTCCAGAAGTTATAAAAAAGCCCGGAGTGAAACAAACAGTCGGATCAAAACAACTCACAACTTCTACCCGTTTTAAACTTTTCGCCGTATTCTTTTACCGCTTCACTATTTTTAAATGTTTTTTTTTCTTTAGAGATTTTAAAAGTTTTTGGGATGTTTTTTCAAATGTTCATTTTAAGTTCATGAATCAATTTTGTTCTATTTTGACACTTCACGTCAAAGAGATATGCTGAAAATAAGGGGAGCTAAGCGACTGTGATTTATGTATTACAAATAGCCTTGTCACTTCTCATTTTTGTTTCAGAAGCAAAAGTGTCCATTTACACTCAAAAAGATGACATATCAGAAGAAAATGGGAAGAGAGAGCGCAAAACTGAAAATAATTTGGTTAATACCTTTCTTCATTCTGTGATTGGTCGGACTTGACCGGATTAGTTTGTTGGACCAGTGCACATAGCTGGTACTATTTCTGGCCTTTGGGCCTATTTGCTCTTTTTCCTTGGCTATAAGCTGGCTCAAATTGAACTACTACTATAGTAGGCGCAGTATTATTTCTCTTTTCATTTATGGCTCGAATCTTTTTAATGATTACCGTTTTTACGATTTATCCTAATTATTTATTGAACAAAAAAACTTTTCTCCTTCCGATTTTACTGCATTATTTCGCCGACCTGCTGAGCTCTGCTGATTGCCATTGCATTCTATGTCTTCTTTATTACCATACTTCATAGAGCGAAACACAGCCGTATAGCAGCTTAAAAACCACGCTGTTTGTTTGCTTTTCAGCCAAACAATCTACCAAAAAACATCAAAAAATTCAAATTTGGTGCCGAGAAAACTATATGCGGACTACAAATCAAGAAGAGACATTGAAATTGATTCTAGTTCTTATACCATAAATGTCGTCTTCAAAATCAATCAAGTGCACTCCAGAAAAAGAAATGCCATTGAAGCTAAGACGGCAACTTGAAAGAATTATCGCCATTTCCTCTTAGCCCTGCAGACTCGAATTCAAATAGTAGGAAGTGCTTATTATTGAATTATTAAGCTGGAGTTACCTCAATTTTTTGTTAGAAAACACGACCAATATTCATAACCTACTTTGAAGATTGATGTTTCATGCAAACTTGAATGATGGGAACTAAATACAATGGCCGATTATGACCAAAAAGTGACCAGTAAACTTAAGCCGACACTCAATTCTTCTATCAGACACAATTATGACATATCCAATTCACGTTTTATGCAGCTCGGGAACTGTTAAATTTTTATTTCGTCGACTCATTGGAATATTTTGGGCTTCTTATTATACGAAGCTGTGGTTACTGTTAGTTTTTTATGGTGCTGTGCTTATGCAGCCTTCTAGCGGTGTGCAGGAACTGTTTAAAATTGGGTTCGCCTGCAACGTATCGAAAACTACGTCATCAAATTTATGCTCATCGGAATTGAACAAAATATTCAAGGTAAGAACAAATTTAACAAAAATACAAACGATCGAAACAAATTTAGGCAGCAAAAAACAAGGACAGACTTTAAAACAATCGTCTTGATTTTTTTCGCCATTGCACGGGAACGAGATTCCGAATGAATTTTCATGTTGTATGACAAATTTACCAGCAAAAACTGCAAGCAGTTAAATTACATTCAGACAAGCATGTCGTTTAGTTAGCGTTTCGCTTGCTCTTCAGTAAACTATCTTCAAAATATAATATTTCTTCAATTTCAAGTTTGACTCGAAGTCAGCGTGGAGATCTAGTCGAGGCGAAGCCGACACAGATTTTTACCGCTTTTGTAATCGAGACATCTAATTTCAGTTCGATCTCGTGACAGATATTAACGTGGCAGATGGCGCTGAGGTATAAAAACTTGTTACTTAAAAAAAGTTTTTAAGTTCGATTGTTTCGTAAGATTTTTGTTTTAAGAAACAATAGAAAACAAGGATAGCCGGCTCCTGTGCAAAGAGCACAGAATATTCCGACCATAGTCTTAGAAAACACAAAAAAAAACAATTTATTAAAACTAATGTCGTTTTTTTCTGCGTGGTTTGATGAAAAGATCTGAACGAAAAAAAAACAGAACTTAAGCATGTTCATCAGTCATAGTATTATAGGCCCATTGAAAAACAGTTTTTATAGAAAAAGTATCTATTTACAACGATTAAAAAACTGAAGTTTCTTTTTTCAAAAACAAGTCTTTTCTTGTGCATTTTGTGATGATAGAACTATGCAAAAGCGTAACCACTTAGGTAATTAGGCTGAAAAGACTACAAATGACTTCACAAATAAAAAAGAATAATAAAACAAAAAATCTTAATTTTTTTTGGATTTTTTCAAACTTTGCACTGAAAACATTTAACAGTTTTTTGGAACTTTTTATCCAAATACGCGCTAAATAAAACTTTTAAAACTAGTTAACTCTTTTTCAATGTTGTATAGTCAATTTCTTTTGCTAAAAAATTAATTGTCATACAGAACGTACGTTTCTCGTTTGCTTTATTTGCTCAAATTTTGACAAACACTCAAAATATTTAAACCAAAGTTTCTCAATGCTGGGACAACTTTTTGATAATTCTTAATGTCCTTCAATTCACGACTAAAAAGGCTTTTTTGATATATCACTCGACGCATTCTGATAATTATTTGTGTTGCCTGATTTTGCGTGGAAAACAAAAAGTTGAAAAATAAAAACACACCCGAATACAAAAATCCGCCCCATTTTCAATGGTCGGAACAATGACATTCCACACAAATTTTTTGACATTTGTGTCATTATCTCCAACATTTTGTTAATTTAGCTGATGTAGCCTTAAATTTTTTGTCTCTGCCTCCAGAGTTTTGAGCTTAACTAAGCTGGGTTCGAGATTTTGGCCTGCGTTAAAGGTTCGCTAATTACAATAAAAACAGTTCCAAAACTGAGAAGCGTACCCTGAAGGTTTATCTAAGGTCTCGATTTTATCAGATATCAAGCGGAAGCGTAATTATTTTGAAAAAAGTGATTGAATTTTATGATTTAGGGTTTCAGAATGTTCCACTGCGAAAACAAAACAGTCATTTTTTGATGTTTTGTTGGAAGCAAATGTTCTCCATTAAATTTTAAACTTACTATTTTTGTGCAGCAACCAGTGCCAAATCTTCTAACTCCTGTTTCTACTTGATTTTAGTAGATGTCACATGATGATATTCAAATTAGACGTCTAGACACCAAGTGCGGATTCCAAAAAATTTAAATATTAGTTTTCCAGTTTCTTTTAGGTTGTTGAGTCACAAACTATTTAAAACCTCTAGTGATTTTACGGCATAATATGAGCCATGCGCACTTTATTTCAAAGGTTTGCATGACAACAATCTCTGTAGCTTTTTGTTTGGTAATGAAGCTTACAAAATTGGGCTTAAAACGCAACAAGTTTTCCTGAGTTCGTTGCTTGGGACTCCTAACGTATCATCTACTGTAATATCTGATAAAATTACCTAAGCTAATTGATATAAGCAAATTACCTCCAATTCAACGTTTCTTCATAATGAAAAAGAATGTGTTCTGTTTTTAGTGGAATCTAACTATTTAAATTTCTGACTCTTCCGCTATTACTTTAGCAAAAATTCTTTAGCAGAAATTAGTCTTTATGGAAAAACCTGATATATATTACAACCAGTAGAAATTAGAGTACGGATGAAAGTAACAAAAAACTTCTGTAGAGTTCATTTTTCACAACTCTGTTTTCCATATTTAAAATTTCACAAGATTCCTAAAATCGTCAAGATGGTCGATATTTCACTTACGAGATTTTGAATCAAAATGAGATCTGCAAATTTCACAAGTTGCCTAAAATCGTCAAGATGGTCGATATTTCACTTACGAGATTTTGAATCAAATTGAGATCTGCAAAAAATGTCTGATGAGTAAAAAATGTTTCGCTTTAGAAAAAGAGCTTTTTTTGGGTTTCTTTTCTTCTTGTATTTCCGGGACAATTTTAATTTATCTATTTTAACGGATAACTTAACCTTTTAACGAAACTTATAAAGTTGGTCTTGTTTTGCATTCAGTTTTGCTATAATAAAATTCTGAGAACAAATATTAGAACTAGAAAGAAATTCTTTTTTTTAAATGTGAAAAAGTTGAGTTGCCTATCAATTTTCAAATTTGGTTTCGCTTAAATGTCAATTTATTTCGAAGTTTCTAAAAATTTTTTATAGTTTGAGCAGCATTTGAAAATCATATGACTAATCAGCTTGCATCAATTCAATATAGAACATTTTTGAATTCGCGATATTTTGCAAAGCATAAGAAATTGATGTTTACGCTTTCACCATCATCGATAGATCCAAAATTAAGTCTCAATTGGTAACTTTTAAACTGCCATCTTTAAATGAGTGCAGGTGAAATTTGTTTTCAAACTTTAATCCAGGAAGCTGATATCTCCATTCAGGTACATTTTTTTGCTTTAAAACTTCTTACTTTGTTAACCAAATTTGTCATAAAATTGAAAAAACCCTCCATCATACACATTGCGTTACTTTTTCTAAAAATCGTAACAACAGGAGTTCCGTTCAAGTACTTGAAACTGATCTGACAACTGGTTGGATGCATGTTTCTTATCAGTTTTGCTTGAATCATAATCTAAAATTTTTGCTGTTTTCGCTCCTCGGACGCGATTACCGAACAGTTGGATAGATCCAAATATGTTTGAAAGCCGTTTTTTGTGCATTTTTTTCTGCTTTGTTGTGGAAATATTGTGTGGAATAAGATCATGCCCATTGTCAGAGTTTGTCCCTACTTTTTTCAAGAATTTTAAATTATGCTCAGCGTGTTATAAAAGCTTGTATAGTATATCAGTCCGAATCGTATATAAAACTTTTAAAAAGTTTGGCTAAGCCTTGATTGTTACGACTGGCCTTGTTTCGATGTTTTGGTAGATAAATTTGATAAAAGGTAGACTTTGAACTTTGTTGTTTTTTGTCTTTACCCAACTGCCAATATTAAATTTTAAGATTTAAAATTTGAGTCAATGTAGGAAATTAGTAAAACCAGTTAACATGCTTAATTGGTCTGACTTTCAGAAAAGTAACATAATATTTGTGCTAAAATTTCTTTGATGACCTTATAATTTCATTAATGTTTCGAGCTAAGAAAAAACTCAAGCATAAAATTGTTTGTTTAGTAATGAGGTTCCATAGATGCCAACTCGACCAAATCAAAGTAAAACCTCATAATAAGTCACTAGACAAAAATTTAATCACTTGGACTCTTCATAGCGAAAAAAAATCTTGCGAAGAAAAAGAAATATATATTTTTTGAAATTTCTATCAATTTTTTTTACTTATGAAAATGTTCATTAGGTTTTTATAGGGAAGTTAGAACATTTAGGGCTTAGCTTTGATTCAATTAGTCTTTTTTCAAATTGGAACAATTTTACGTGTAATTTACTACACATAAACAGTTCATAGTACGCTTTCAGTATCATAGATAAAATCATCAAAGCGCGCATAAATTAGTCCAGAACATGGCAAAATTGGCAATTTTCAAATAACCAGAACTTCACAAAAAATAATCGAATATAAATTATCTTTTTTATTTGAACTCAGGAAGTTGATATCTGCTTTTGGGAATAAACTTCTTATTGAAAATTCGATTGCCAAAATTCGTCTGAGTAAAAAAAATACTCCAAGCTTAAAGATACTTTATCAATCTCCTCGAAAAAACCGGAACAATAAGAACGCTCGCATCAAGGTAAAACTTCGAATGTTCCACCTGCCATTTGGCAGCTCGAGAACAAAGTTCTTGATTAAACAAACTGATAAAAAGCTCTGTAAAGGTTTTAGAGTTTTTTTGCTTCAAGGCTAAATTGCTTACCTCAATTTTCCCGCGTACACGTTATAATTTTCCCGCGTACACGTTATAACTACCAATATAACGAGCATTATTTATCCCAAATTGTTCAATTTACCAATTTACAAACCCGTATAACGTAGCGAAAAAAGAACACAGGTGAAATATAACTCACTTAACTGTACTTGTTTTAGGACAACATGTATGAGCTGAAGAAACAAGGAGGGTGGGAATTGGACTTCCGCCCTGGCGAGTTGACACTCCCCGAGAACATTTACCACTCCATGATGAGTGTATGTGTAGCAGTGGAGGGAGGGGAGGGGGGAAGGATTAGGGCTGTGATTGCAGATGTGGATAACGACGCATTGAGTGGGTTGTTGCTGGTGACTAATCATTTCAAGATACCTGTCATATCTATCAGGCCCAGGTCTACAGTACTTGACCCGGTGGGTACAATTTACGTTTTTAAAAATAAATTTTGATCGTCTGCCTGGTATTCATTACTCTTTTTGCTTATGTCTATGATACCCAATATTTTGTTATCAGTGAAGATCTCTAAACAGGACCGCTAAACAGGACTCTCACTCGAAAAGTAGGTGTTTCGAGGTACGCCATGATCTGTGCGCGTTTCTTAAGGGCGGGAAAATTTTCCAGTTCAAGATAATTACCAAAAAATAACTTAAAAAAATTGCATGTTGCTTTTAATCAGATGCACAACAGCAACTCTCTAAAAAATTGAATATCTCGCATTTCACTCATTTTCCTAGTACATAACTGGCCCTGACCTCAACTCAGAAAAAAAGATATATAAAAAACAAGGATAGGTGGTTACTGTGCGAGTAGTCTTAATCCGGTAGTATTAATCCGACATAATTTTCCGACTAGTTTTGAAAAACTACAACAAAATTATTTTTCCAATTAGTCTCGATTTTTCGGCTTGGTGTGATAGAGGAATCTAAGCAAAAAAATTAGAACTTAGGCATTTTTGTCAGTTATGTAAAATATGCAAATTGGAAAACAATTTTTGAAGACAAATAACAAAAAAAAACGAAAAAATCTGAAAATATATAAATTTTTTAAAATAATTTTTCCCAATTTTTCCTATGATGAAGTTAAAAACTCCAAAAATTAACTTCATTAGAGTGAATCAAAAATTTCAAGACTTAAATTAAGCATGAATCAGCTAATGTAAGCCTGCCCACACGCTCGAAATTAAACGAAAAATAAAAAATTTCAAACCGGTTTTTTCTCGACACCGGGAAAACTTTTTTTAAATTTGATGTCTAAAATTTTTTGAAATTATTGAACTTATTCGTGCCCAAATTGAAGCTAAAAAAATCCATAAACTAGTTTACTTGCTTAAAGTCTTAAATAAGGCATAATTCAGCTGTTGTAAGCCTTCTCGCTTGCTTTATTTGTCCGAATTAAGACGAAAAATCAAATTTTCAAACCGCTTTTTCTCGACAATGGGAAAACTAATTGGGTTTTTTAAATTTGGTTCGAATCCCAACTAAAAAGAACTTTTATATGATATATCACTCAACCCAGTCCGATGATTGTTTGTAGTACCTGATTTTGCGTGGAAAACAGAAACACTAAAAGACACCCAAATACAAAGTTTCTCCCCATTTTTCAAATGGTCGGAACAAAAACTTGTGACAGTTTTGGATAAGAGAAAATATATATAATTAAAATTGAAAAAAATGCCCTTTTAGTTGCATCTTAAATTTGAATGGGTCACGTGTTTATAAAAAACAGTTGAGAAACAATTTTCAAGCCTATTTTTAAACAATTTTTTTTGTTAATTGAAATAATTGTAATGTTGGACTTATTTATTTGTGTTTGATTCACAAACTCCAAATTAAAAAAGTTGTAAATGTTTAAGCGCTTTTTAGCAAAAACTAAATTGAATTACAGTGCTGATTTAAATTATCCGGACAAAACGCTTAACAGTTGAAACTTAAAATGCGTTTTTCTCAAATTGGGTTGACAAAAAGAAAAGGATGAAGACAAAACTTGCTGAAAATTTTAGCAAAATTAAAATGATACAATTTGTTTAACGAGTTCGTGCCCAAATCTTACCCCAAATACGGATAACTTGAAACTTTTTTTCTCTAAATTACACCAGAGCTACGAAATAAATTACTGTCAAAATTATGTCAAAATGAGCCTCTTTGGTTCGCAAGTTTTGTCGTGATCCTTTTTTAAATCTAAAATCATCCCACTTTGACAGATTACACAATCAACGAAATAAGTGTTCTTGTTTTATGCGTTAGCTTTTCTAAAAAATTTTAGACTTTTTTACAATTTTTTTGATATTGTTTTTGAAGTTCATATCAACTATTGTTTGCCCCAGAGGTTTCGTAAGGAGAGTTGTTAAAATTTTTTGAGAGTTTTCAAAATAACAAAAAAGGCTAGTATTCTCACCTTTTTGTTTTTTATGTTTATCTTTTTTAGACATAACGCAACCCGAACAGTTTTTTTGGTTTTATAGCTTTTTAGTGCGGTTTAATTAGCAACTCATGTGTTCTAAGATAATGTGATATCTTGGTTGAAAATTTTTCTAGTGAACTCCATTGAAAACAGATGAGCCGAGAAATTGTCGTTTTTGATAGAAAATGGCGAAAATTGGCTGCTTTTTTTCTAACTGTTTCATCATAAAGTGTCATTTACTCGCAAAGTTTTTGGCTAAAGGATTTATTGGAGCCGAATGTTGCCTATTTAAGTTTGCCTATGAAAACATCTGTCATGGTCTGTTTATATTTTGTGAATTGTTGTTTCATTTCCCAAAATCTCGAAGTTGTGTGGTCTACCATTGGGTTAGTTTGATTTTTAAATTCGATTGTTGAGAATTGTAATAAACAAGAGTAATAAAGATCGCAAAAAATCACCTCTCTTCAATCTGATACATCAGGGGCTGATTGGGGGGACGCCTCATCCTCAGGTAGTTAATGCCCTCACCAAATAAAGGGTCTCCCTTTTTGGTATTTTTTTATGGCATCCATTTTCGGTGACCAACCCTAAAACTTTTCTAAAGGCGCCTTTTAAAGAGAAAGCTGTCACATGTTTTAGGATGTTTTAAGAGAAAGCTGTCACATACAGCAAAGAAATATAATAAAAAAAATTCATGATCTTTTTTTTGTAAACAGCACCGAACCAAAAAATATGGCCAAAATTGCAGTCTGGCAAAAACTTTCCAATTATATCTATCATTTCTACCTCATTAGTATATTTCTTGTCTCAGGTTTGTCTAAGGGGCGGTCATTCGTCTGTCATGGAGTTTAATCCTGACAAACACCCTGCCTGTTTAATCCCACATTATCCTCTTTTATATCTTCTCTTCTGGTTTGTTTTCCAATCTGGCTCCTCTCCTTTCATTGCTCTCTCGTTTCCTTGAACGGATACTATCATAACTAGTTAATATCATAACTAGATGGTATCATTACTCTAGTTAGTTTTACAATTACATGGTCTCAAGATTGTCATTTCCGCACTATCTGATAAATTTTGAAATGACTTTCAGTTGAAATCCAAAAGTATAAATCGAACTTTTTAACCTGAAATCCAAAAGGTTGAAATAACTCTTTCGTCGGCCAAAGGCTATTTCTAATTATGAAGTAGAATTTAATTATGATGTTTTTTCAAAGCATGTCATAAGAAAATGATTCAAGGTTAAGGTAAAATTAGGATTCTGAGCACTATTTACATATGGCGTTAATCTATAGATCTTAATAGTTGGCTAATCTCAAAATTTATTGCAATTGGGTTAACTATCTTTTCAAACAACAGTCGGTCCTTTTCTACTGCCTTGGTTGTTTCCACTTCATGAAGGTTACGAGGTTACAGCTAATTTGAAGTTTCTAAAAATAAAAACTGGTCTGAATATCGTTGCCCGCTGATCCAACATAAGATTTTAGAATTGAAATCATTTTGGTCGCCGAATAAAGTTAATCTGTTACCCCATGCCATTTCGGCTTCCCTGTCCCGATTAATGAGCTCAACGTCAAATTAGGGCGTGCTGTACAATGTCTCTAGAAAAGACATATTTAAAGTCGAGTCAATAATTCAAACTTGAATTCGGTATTAAGGATCCGACAGTTCCAGCGAAACTGCAGAAAAGTAAGCCCAAAATAAGCTGCAACGTTTTCTATTTCTCTTACCCTATTCGGCCTGCCTTATCATTTAATTTCCAGCTCTAAAAAACGGCATGATTAATTGTGTTCGTGTATTTATTGAGGCAGAATAAATCCATATTTGTGGCCGAGATAGTCCCGAAACTATAAACACACTTAAGCCGGATTCAAATTCATATTGCTACCGGAAGCTCAGCACATTGTCCGACAAGAGGACGTAGATTTTGAAAATGTTTCGTAGTTTGGCCAGGGTTTTTCTGCTTTCAATTATTTGGTCTGATTTACGGTTGTATTTAATTGCGAGTCGTTTCGCGGTACCTTGGCAACTCGTTTAATTTTCAATTGACGCAAGTGGTGTAATGCGCGAGAATCAGGTTATGACGCTAATCTAGATTAGTTTTCAAGAGAAATAGTCAATATTAAACAAATGTTACGAGCTGCCGCTTTTTATAAGTTTTGCGAGTTGTCGTTTTACGGAACGACGACAACCCGCAACAGAAGACTAGTTGAAAACTATTTTCAAAAAAAGAATGGTATAATGCGCGTCAATCAGTGGGTGGCGCTAGCCTAGATAGCATTTAAAGAAAAAAATTCAATTATTTTTTTTATGGTGCGTGTTTTTTTGGAAGTTGTCTAATTTTGCTCTTTTGCTCAAGTTGGCTAATGGGTTCCTTTTGTTTCGAGTTGTCGTTTTAAAGAGTTTCGTTGCTACGATAAACAGTTTTCGAGAGTAGCTTTGATGTGGCATAGGGCAAGCATCCGATATGTAAAAAGTCCGCTATGTCAAGCATCCGAACTTACAAAATAATTCTGTAAAATTATGATGTTGAAAATTTATATATATCCAATTCCAGAGTCAAGATTTGCTTTAAGATCGCCGCTGATGGCGCTACTCGCCCGTCGCCGTTTCGCAGCGATAACCGGTGGTACATTTAACATAAAGTCCTACACTCTGTAGGGGTGTGATCGCGTCGATCCAGCTTTATTTGACCACTGCAGCATCTTTTAAGCCAACGGTAGAAGTCGGATCTTTAAGCTACTTTAAGAAATTTGTCGGATGTTTGCTCTAGTAAAGCTGTTTTTTGGATGTTTGCAACACTTTTCGGATGTTTGACATACCGGCGCATATCATTTAAGATGATACAATAGTTTGTATTTCCCAATATGCAATAATTCATGCCATGAACTCAAAAACAAAAAATTGAGAAAGTGTTTATTGTAAAATTCTCAGTATGTATACCTTTTTTTGCCTTCGTTCTGCGGAGAGGGAGTGTTGAGGTTAAGCTTTAAAATGGTTAAAAAACACGTAGTGA